GAATTTGTTGGCTTGATTAGTGCTCATCATGCGGAATCTGGTATCTGAATTACATGACCTAACTCGACTTCGGTTATTATCATGGATATTTCCTACTCTATTTATGTTCTGATATCTGCTACCAAAATTACGCCACTGCTCCTGTGCTCTGATATTTCTGTTATTTTTTCTAATTTTTGTAAACGCTCAGCTCTGTTAAAGTTAATTATTTGCCCACTTCCGTTTTGTACACATGACCTCAGTTGACCCTGAATGTCATGGTATGGATTCGGTCTCTGTGGTCTGAAACTCTGCTTATCTATATTGTAGTCTGCTCTCTCGTTATCATATCTTCGCCTACCGGAGAAACCGGTAAATCGATTAGCATCGACTTTATGTGTAGTAACAGTTGCTATTTTATAGCTATTCCTTCCTCTCGGTGCCTCTCCCGTTGAACTATTTACCTCTAGAATATCTCTATCTACGTTAGCTACAATATTTCCTTTCTTCAATTTTACGGTTTTCCCTGTCGCGTTTGTGATAAGGACAGGAAAACAAAGTCTTTTACCTAACGTTACAATGCCATCTGTAGTTGATAAGCACGGTTCGTTTAACAGTGCTTCCTGAAGCGCTGTTGTTCGAATAGTTTGACCTGGCAGGAAATATGGGTTTCTTTTTAAACCCGACATCACTACGTTGATTGAATTAGGTTTGAGGATGACTGTTTGTTTAGCACGTACCACCGAAGCAACGTGAATGTCATCTCTAAGATCTACGTACCTATCTCTAATTCTAAGCTTTTTAAGGTCAAAATATAGCCTTATGCCATGTTTAACTAATATGTCCCGTCCTATAATTAAATGACGGTTCATTGTTTTTACTATGATAAAAGGATGTGTCAGATGTATTCCACCGATGGAAAACGGAATCATGGCTTTACCTAAAACTGATAGGCTGGCTCCGGTGACAGACTGTAAGTTCTCTTTTGTGTGATGTAACTCTATACTACCTCTAATCCTCTTAAATACCGAGTAATTTAGAAGTGACAAATCTGCTCCTGAATCCACCAGACTATTAAACTTATTATTGTTGATTTCTATTAAACAGCAACACGGGCTGCCTGATGCATTAATCTGTCTATGGTTTGTAACTCTCTTCTGCCTATTTATTTCGTTATCTCTCTTGTGTCTTACTGAACTTTTAGAGGCTATGTCTCGTCCGTCGCTCAGCTGTGCCCCGGCCAGCGAGCGGATTGCGCGTTTCCTGAATAATGGTTTCTCCAGCCGCCGTTATTTTGTGTGTTAAGTCCCTGACTTCTGCGACTGACCTGCCACGACCTTTCACCTCTGAAATCTGTGTTAACGAGCGGTCGGTTTATCGGCTGTGTTGTGGGTCGGTTACCTGCCGGGCAAAATCGGACTTTATGGGGACCTGAACAGTTATAACACGTTAAAGTGTGTTGCACTGCCTGTATGTTAGAGTGTCTGTGTCTCTCATTTGTGTGTCTTTCTCTGTGTGGTCTAAAATGTGATATGTCCATGGGTTCCGTCAACCTAATATCTTCTTCTTCTTCTGTTCTTCGTCCAGTTTGAAGGAACACTTTTCGTCTTAAACTCTCTTCTTTAAAGAGTTATGGCTACTGCCTGTTCTAGAGTTGTTGGCCCAGAACGCAATAAACGAAGTTTTTGTGAACAGTCCCTTAAACTGTCACTGAAGACTGAAACTAAAATAAGCTGAGTTTGTTGTGATTGTATCTCTTCTTTAAGAAATGCATCTTGCGCGAGACTCTGTATTCTCTGCGAATAATTCTGTACGCTCTCATCTTTGCCCTGTTTGATCTGTCGTAAGAGGGAAAAGGCCATCTGTCTGTCTGTGACATCGCTGAAATTTTGTGCTAAGTCTCTTTTCAGTTCTTCCCATGTTTCTTCTTCATTCTGCTCTAATCTTCTTCTTATGTGTTCTGAAACCGGGGAAGAACTCATCTGGTATGCTAAACGTTTGATGTCGAAACTTGTCGCACCTGAAAGGAAAGCATACTTTTCTATCTCGTTTACCCACTTTTTAAACTTTTTTGTGTCTCCCCTGAAAGGTTCAATAACCCCTGTTATTCCCTGTCTCCGAACGCTACAATCTAATCTGGAGACAGCCTTGCTGACTTCTCCTAAAACTCTGCTGAACTGGGCTTCTACTGTTCCCTGTTCTGCCATTTTTTAAAAAATCTGGGAAATTAATCTAATGCAAGTAAATTAAAATTGAAAAAACAGAAAATGTCAAATTACCTTGTTGAGTGCGGTCTGAAAAAAAAATTCTCTTTTCACAACACACTGTAATTAAAAATCGGCACTGTCCTGGAATTATTTTCTAAGTTAATAGGAAAGGTAGGGAAAGATAAGAAAAGGTTTTCCCTACACCACTGAAAATTGAAAATCACAATATATTTAAACTAATTAATGTTAATGTTCAAGGTTCTTTAAAATCGCGCTTATTTGTAAAATCGGACAGCTCACAGTTCTTGACTTTCCTATAATCTTCCGAGTGTGTAAAGTTAGGAAAAGTTTATATTATGGCTCCAGACTAGAACGGGCGCGTCCCCCTGATTCTAGTGTAGACGGTTTGCTCCGGGCTAGAACGGGCGTGTCCCCCTGATTCTAGTGTAGACGGTTTGCTCCGGGCTAGAACGGGCGTGTCCCCCTGATTCTAGTGTAGACGGTTGGCTCCAAAAGGTGGTGCAGGCTGTTGGTCTGGTTTACGTCTCTCCAATCTGATGACGGGTTTATCGACTTTTTTGTTTTACTCAGCAGGTACAATCATAAACTTGCTTTTAGTTCACCTTTTTATAGCAGTTGCTTATTTGTTATGTTGTAACAGCAGTCTTGTTTTTTAAAGATGTCGAGTACACAAGACTGATCGTTGGTCACGGCTCCAAATATCCACATACTTTGTGGCACAGTCGTGCCTATACATCCCCCAAGAAATAGATGTGCCTAAGTCGGCCAAGTGAATGAATATAGTTCGTATCTCTCTTCAATCGTACTCAAGAACAAGGCCAGTGATGTAACAATTACACAAGAGCTGTTTATTTACAATATTCCAGTCATAGAGGCTTCATAAATTCAATAGTATATGAACACTGTATTATCTGGATACAGGCTATTCGTATGACTCTCTACGAGTTCCTTAACCACTGTTCTAGCTAAACTCCAAGTTTAACATATACCTTCTAAACGAAGTAAATCACTAGTTTTCTCCTAACCTGTCCTATCAAGCGGTTCCGTGGCTAACTGTCCTCTCCAGCGGTTCCGGGACTAACTAACCTCTCAAGCGGTCCCGGGGCTAACTGTCTTCTCAAGCCCCTGGCTCTGACTTTATTCCCGCTTTCCCGCTCCTCCTGGCGTACCTTCTCCATCACTTCTCTGTCACCTGTCTTTGGTGGTCACGTCTGGATGAACGTATCTCATCCGCTGGTCACAGTTCACGGGCACTCGTCGAATGTTTCATCCCTCACTGTCAGATGTCATGGCGGTGTGTTCTGCATAGCTGGCTAGGCCATGGCTTTCTAATCACCTATTTCTGTCATTTCACACAGTGATGGATTAGTACGCCGTGTGGTGGTCTGAAATGTATGCTTGTTCATTTAACCCCTTTCTGCCTATATTTCATTACAGACTGTCACTTTAATCTTTCAGTACCATCAGGATGTTAATGTATGATAAATGTGTATTATTTAGAGTTACCATTGCTTAATACTGAACAAATAAAAGGAATCTCAGCATCCAAGTAAAAGTTTAGCAGAAACAAATCTATAATTTGTCTATAAATACCTTTACAACTTGTTGCGCGCTGATTTGGGTCAAATATAATATTGTGTGAAGGGACAGTGGTATGCAAGTACTTTCTGTGAGTTCACGGGGGAACAGTGTCAACATGGTCCGAGTATTGAGAGGAGACCAGTGAAAATGTCTATTCATGAACAAGGCGTGCACGCACAAGAGAAAGTGGACACGTGGGTTACTGTGTGTGGGGGCTGAAAGCATGGCTAACAAGATAAACAGAGAAAGTGTGAATTAAGTGACAGTGTGATTCTCAGGTAACATCAGCCACCCGCATAAGTGTGATCCTCGAGAACGCCCATATGAGCGTGAGTCTCGAGAACACCCACAGGATCATGATTCACGAGAACGCCCATACGAGCGCGCCTCTCGTGTAGACATCATCCACCTACACGGATTTGAGGGGGATAAATTGGAGGGCTCAGTAGCCACTCGGAGGCAATCGAGAAGCAGTCGAGAGAGAAGAGAGAGAGAAAGCGAGAGTCAGAGACCACGTCAGGGTCTGTGATATCTCTCGCGAGTCTAACAGACAAGAATACCGTACAACTATCAGGCATTGAGGTTGCGGTACTGAACGAGGATATGGTCCTGCTGGCAAAGTAAGTCCAGGGGAAAGAAGGCTCCAGTAGTACCTGATCTAGGTGGCGACGTAGTGCAACGTAGGAGGACCACTACTGAAACAGAACAGGGGGGAGTGGTACCGACGAGAGCTTGTGCTATAGGGGACTTATGGTAGAAGTCCTGTCAGTCATCGGAGCCCTGCGACAAGCTGACGACAGCTGTGTGTTTTCGGAGTACGGCAAGAGAAGTCCGTCTCCAGTCAGCCATGTTGTATGTTGAAATAATATCAAGGTCCAGTGAATGGGAGAATTCGCCCTGTTCAGCTGTACGGCGCGTCCAGAATGTGAGACGCTATAGTCCTTGGAGCTGTAGTAGTCAAGGAGAGGATGCTCCAAATTGAGAGAGAGAGAGCGAGTGAGGACAAATGGACGATGTGCGAATGTCAACTGTGATCAATACATCTATGCATTTGTGTCCCGTATCCTGTTGAATAAAATGTAAGACGGTGTCATCGTCATCGAGTTATATTTCTAAAAGAGGAAGCTGAAGGGTACCTGCTAGACACCTGGTAGTGTGCTGACTAGTGGTAACTCATTTAGCACACAACACAACTCCATCATGGAACCTTACCTTTATTAAAGATTCCTTTCCCACTGATTTTGCTCCATTGAGATCCAATCTGTAGGCAATGAAATTAATTTTCAAGAACATGCAGGGCTTGTGTCAGACACAATGAAACTGGTAGCTCAAATAATCTAATAAAACACAAAGTGCAAGAGAGTAATATAAAACTTAGAACACATTATAAACAGAAGATCTCCTACCAGCTAACTACTAACTTCCAATCGAAGCATTTTAGCGCTGCTTACAGATAGGGACAAATTAAATATTTGTTAGACTGCACAGAGTAAAAATAAGAAAAACAGGTGAGAAACAAGAGAAAATTTCATTATGCTGAGTCACTATCTGGGATGGGATATAAGGCATCATTTTCCTTGCTCTGGTGTAATGTGAATATAGTGCTAGATCTAAATTTTTATTAACTAATCGGCACTGGATGGGTGAAGTATTCTATAAATTATAAAATTCTCCTGAAGGAGTCAGCAGAGTAGTGCTGTTGACCCAACAATGAGTTTAATCCTAATTATTTCATTTTCGGGATTTCATTTTCCTGATGACCCAACTATGAGTTTCATTATCATCATGTAGCAGGTCCTTTGCAGAATGTCACTCTCATCATGGTTTGTCTGAAAGAAACTAGGTCTCCTGTCTTGTTCACTTTCATAGAGAAGGAGTCATTTATATCATGTGCTTATCTTCGAGCTGGTCAGCCCCTGCCACTCTTTCCTGGCACCATGTCTTCTGCTATTATTTTTTGCAATCTGCGGTGGCACTTGATATGGCCAACAATTTTTGCTTCCATGAAAAGTTTCTATGGATAACAATGCGGTAGTTTCACCTTGCTTTCCACATCCTTATGGATTCAGACTATGTCCTCAGCCTTTTTGACTGCTAGGGTAACTATGAGTTCATCTACCTAATTTTACCTTTCCACTAATTACGAGTTTATTCTACATAATTATTCCATTTTCCTGAACATTCCTTTCTCCATGCAACTTAATCATGAGTTTATTCCGCATATTTATTCCCTTCTGCCTAAAGTATCACAAATTTCTAACAGCCCACTTACAGGAATCATTCCATGTGAGTATTCCATTCTTTGGAAGAAGACAGAAATAAGACAATGGCCCAACTATGGAGTTGTTGCTCATTTTTTTTTACTTATACCACAATATACAGTTCAAGATGAGTGCACTGGTACTCACTTTCTTAAACTGGGGCAGAACTGTGCTAGGGCTTCTATACTCTCATCAGTTGCCATTTGAAAACACGTTTTTAATTCTTCCTGTGGAATGTGATAGATAAAAAGTTAAAAGCATTTACAAAACGCAAACAAACATCACACAGATATCACTGAAGTATATTCATTAGATAATTACATAACAAAAGTGGCGCTTGCCTGTGTTGAAAACCAGTTCCAGAGTGCATGTATTTATTTACTTATTGAACTATCTATTTAATAAACAAATTTATAACTTTAAAAAAAAATTTTGTAGCTGAATGAAACAATTTATCAAATTAGCTTAATTATATTTTGTGTACCAAGTAACTCACCATGCGTGTCATGATCACCCCCAAAAAAAACTGACACAGTTTTTTTATTCCTCTACAACAGAATCACGCTAACTTAACACCCCAGATCTCATTCTTGCATTCCTCTACAACAGATAATGCTAACTTACTCAAGATCTTATTCTTGCCTTCCTCTACAACAGATATATGCTAACTTAACACACTATATCTCATTTACAAGTTTACCGTCTTCTGTCTCATAATATATCTTATGTAACTCCTTCATACATAAATACTGAATATTTTGAAGTACAGCATCCTAAAATATAACAAGTTTCAGTAACTGCCTGGGAGTGAAAGAGTCAAGAAACTTCACTAAACTCCTCAACCAAACAATAAATGAAAAATTTGTCAATGTCTTTCTAAGATCACAGATGTATCTTATAAATGTTTCTACCACATCATAGTTATCATAAAGTGCCTTGCCGACTCATGCGGCAAATCATTCTTCTCTGCATCTGTGCAAATTTCCAACAGTATGTATCAGTTTGTGTACAATCACACTTCTATGCCATGACAAAAGACTGCAGAATTTTCTCTTACTGTCTTTCTCTGGCTTGCTTTCCTCAAATATTTTCTTGTCATCATATTCATTTAGAGGGTCCTTTGCAGATTTGCAGAATGTCGCTTCCATCACCGCCTGCCTGAAAGAAACTTGGCTGCTCGTCAGATCTTCTGCATCATGCACTTTCCTACCTAAGATGTCACTTATATCCTGTGCCCATCCTTGTGCTTGGCCACTGCAACTCTTTCCTGGCACCGTGCCTATTCTTTCAAATCTGTTGTGGTGCTTGATGCAGCCAAGATATTTCAGTTTCTCAGATAAGATGCAATTTACTAGCCAAACTTCCTTGATGTTCAGATCTTTTAGAATTTCAGTATCTCTTTTCTTCTTGGTTGATGGTATTCTGCCATTCCTCGTATCATCACAAAGTTTTAAAAATAATATGGCAATAAAAATAAATTTGAAAAAAAAAAAAAAAAACAAGACGATGGCCCCTATCTGATGTAAGAAATAAGATGTCTGTGGTCAAAGCCTCTTTCAAAACATTGTGATTACTTATTTTGGCTGTCGAAGTAAATTTTAGGTCTTGAAAGGTGGTAAACAGGACAAAGTAAGTGATTGCCAGGATTGGTTGAAGATCATGAGGTAGACCAAGAGCAAGACAGAAAGATAACATCAGAGAAATTCTACAACAGCACTATGTGTCTATGGTTGAGGCATCCAGAAGAGTAAGAAGCAGAACCTTATATCTGCCTCGAAACCCAAAGCAGTAAATCAGAAAGTGGAGAAGAAGAATAAGATTAAGAAGAAGTATTCTTACGCATTCTATATGTTAGTTTACAACATATGGGAGACCAAGATATACTCACTAAAGATGTTCTAAGACCTTTGGCTATCACTGGAATGTGCTCAATGTCTGTATCAATCTTCAAAACTTTAATTGATGGATTTTGTGAAAGAAAACTTGACAACGCTGCAAAGATCAACATAAACGCAATCTGCTACTCACAATAAGAATACTGCTAAGCTCGTCTTCTGCTTAACTATACAATGTCTAAATTAAATTTATTTCGAAACCTGAGCATTGAAAAAAAACTATATAAATCCATAGTGACCCTCAATGGTAGTATTAATAATAATTAGATTTTCCTGTGTGGGTTCCGGGGTCCCATTGGGGGGGGGGGGGAGTATAAACCCACTGCCTGCCTAATAGCATGTCGTAAGAGTAGCCTAAATGGGAGCTGCTTTTGAAGTTGGAGTACATCTGCCTGAGAGGCAAGGAACCGACAGTCTGCATGCAAATGAGTCAGACCTGTGAAATGGATGTGCACGCAACACTCAGTTTCTGGAACAGGACTAGAGTCCAGGAGTGGACGAACAACGAGAAATCTCTGCCGGAGTTTGAAGCAGGTGAACGCGAATAAGAAGAAGAATTCGATTTATTTAGCATCTAAAAAAGCATCTCAGGAAAATCCATTAGTCAGATTTTGGGAATTTAAATAATAAGAACATACATAAAATATATTACCTGGCATAATTTGCTGAATCTTATCTATTGCATACTTCAGAATTTAAATCAACATTTAATGAACCACAACATTCAATTAAACAAATTGCATAGTTAACTGTTACACTGCATAACCCACCATAGAAGTATTTTATTAACTTTGTGATACTTTTCATTTCCCATCCTAATTTTGACCTAGTTCAGCAAATCTCAAAAGATCAGTGTGTGATTTTTAAACCAAGAGGTCACAGTCCTTATTTACAATGTACTTTGAGGATTCTCATGCTTCACCACATCTTGTACGCATGTGTATGTACAAACTTCAGTGCCAGGACAAAAAGCTGTCAAAATATAATCTCTAGATGTAATCCTTTACCACTTTTCAAAAAAACTTTCCAGACAATATAACCTGTGTGAGTTTTTCTTTTCTCATAGTGTGACCAAAAATTATCACTGTCTTTTTCTGACGTCTGTATCCTAGTTTCTTGCAAAACATTCCTATTTATCGCTTTTTGGCTGTCCAAAGAATTCTAAGGAACATACATCTCTTCAGCTTAAAAAAAATGCAAGCATTATTTTTTAAAACTCCATCTGAAGCCTCAAAGATTTTAAATAAAATGCAGTTCCGTTAAAAGACTAAAATAAAAATATAGTAATACTTACATGTGGCAGAACACCAATTTTTGCTTGTATTTAGTGTATGTATAAGTTTAAAAGACCATAACTTTGGGGATGCAATGCTGCCTAAAATTTTCTGTGTAATCAGGGGCAAATATTCGAGATGGAGAACAAGTAAAGCATTCTGATCCTTCAGAACTGCTTGAACCCCAATATCTGAAGAAGAAAGTGCGTTTGAAATCAGTCTCAATACATAATTTACTAAAAATTAAAACTACATTTTCTTTTTAAATCATCATCAATCAGCAAGTCCTTCACAAAACGCCGCTCTCTCCATGGCACGCAATGCCTTAGCCACAGATGCTGACAACTGTTTCCGTAGCGTATGTTGTTCTCTTCCTCTTATACGTCCCTCCTTGCCAGATCCACACCTAATTCCTTGTTCACACATTCTTATATATGTTACTTCAACTAACCTCATATCTCCTATTAGCATTCATTCATAAATAATCTTCACAACGTCTCCTTTTTCTGGTACTAGTCTTTCTGTGATTATTGCTTTTGTAGTCAGACAGTCTTCTCTTTCATTTCCCCGGACTCCTGCATATCCCGAACAGTATATACTAAAACGTTTATATGCTGATGCTTGGTATTCTTTCATGCCACATTTGTCCATTTTGGGTAAATTTAAATAATTAACATGTTTTTCCCATGTCGTTGAGTACCCAGGACAAAGTGTTACATACATACTGTAAAATCCCTCTGTTTCTCTTTTTCTCTCTCCCTATCTCTCAATTACTCACCCAAGCATGCACATTTTTAATTGCTATTGTATCCTTTTATTAAATCTATCAACCCCAATTTGTTATACAAATTATTCCTGAAACATTACTTTAGTCTTTTATACTGTAGTTAATTTAACAATCTTTAATATACTACTGTAGGCTTGACTAGCCCCCTCCTCTTCTAAATTTCAATTAAAAGGGTGGGTGGCATATTCCGTTGTGGTTTCCAGCTAGTCTGCGACATCTGCGCTTTTCAGCCCAGCACAGCAAACCCCGTAATCAGTCGATTTTTACAATATGCTAGTTGTGGGGGGGGGGGGGGGGGGGGGGGGTGGTGTGCTATTTACACTTTAATTCTCAGGATCACTAAGGTGTCATCAACATGGAGGTCATGCCTACCAAATATAGTCACTCTGAAAACAGAGTTTGTAAGTCTCTCAAGAACCACCTTATCCATTTCATGGGCACCAATTCACCCAGGGAACTTAGAATCCAACACAGTTTTATGTTATTTTTTTAAATCATGGCTCTTGTTGCTCAGTGTGTGGCAAGTATTTACTTCCAGTGTCAGATATTTTACAGGCCATACAGTGGCTACATATGTCAGATTTTTTACGGGCCATGCAGTGGCTACACATGTCAGATATTTTACTGGCCATACAGAAGTGTAATTTCTATCGAAGATTTGTCCTTTAGGGGATTCTGTGTATTCTTGCTTGTATTTGTAATAGTGTTGATTTATGTAATATGCTGATAAAGGATCTCTAGCCGGAACGTTCACTTGTCGTTCGTGTTTGTGATATTGTGAACCTGACTGGTTCTTCTTTCTGTTTGTTTTGATATCTTTTCAATCTTTAATAAGATCTTCAGGCCTACCACTGGACTGTATGTACAACCTGGTTGAACTTCTGTGACATTTACTGTACACACACACACACACACCTGTTACATGTTTTAATCTGCTTAACAAGAGGACTTCAAGCTTGCAGTCTGACTGCCCTAGCAGTTGTAAAACAACATCACTGATCTGATCACACCTGCAATGTTAATGTTCACAATTTATAGTTAACTTTTTAACATAATTATAAAGCTTCTGTAAAAAAAAAATTATGTGTTTTTTAACTGTAACCTAAGACTAGAATAACACTATATTTATTGTATACTACACATGATGCGGGTAACAAGTTTCTAATCCATGCAAGCTAGTATTCATTTTGTGGTTTTAGTATGAAGTCTCACTAGAAGAAGTAAATGTCCTATAACTACAAGTCATAATCAAATACATCAGCCTTTGAATTAGTCAAGTGTTGAATGCTGATTAAGAATTAATATCAAAGCACATGGGACACTCCCATAAGGGCTGTGTCCCCATCTTCAAGAGCAAGTAAAGTGTTTCAATTCCGATGGCACCACTAACTGTCTGATTGTATATCTGTCTTGCCTTTCCCTTAAGTGTTGAGCGTCAGCCAGATCCCCTGGTCAAGTCAAGTGTATGCATGACAAGCTAAATGTGGTCAAGGCCTTTGGAAGCAAATGAAGAAATTTCAGGTATGAACAGATCATTATGGTCTGGAGAGAATGGAGTGGCTTGCAATGATCAGAGATCTGGCCGACACACTACATTCAGAGAAAAGTCAAGATGGCCTGACTTATCATCAAACTGTTACTGGCACCATCTGAACTCTGTCGGCTGTTAAAGATGAGGATGGAGCGCTTACGGAAATATGCCGAGTGCTGTGATGTCAGTTCATAGCTGAACACTTAGTCAAACGTAAATTAACTTAGGCAAGCTGGTAAACATCTACACAAGCAGATATAACTTAACACTTTGACAGCAAAATTCAATGTTTAAGAAAACATATTTGTGTTTTTCCTTTCCCCTGTGCTGAGCTTTGCATTCATAGCTTATGAATTAATTTTTTGACACACATCTAATGGCAATAGTAAAGTAGTTTCTAAGGAAAATGCAAAGAATATCATGGACAAGATGAAAAACGAATAGATAGTCTAACAAAACACAGACAACAACGTTAAACAGAGAAATTAATCACAGACAGTTACGACCCTCTCCCTCCCCCCTTTTTTTAGGCATCCCGGATAGCTATCCCGGGACCATATGGTATAGTCCAGACAAAAATGCAAACCTTATTTGAGACAAGGGGGCTTCATGTAAAAACCTTAAAAGTGTGATAGATATTACAATAATAGTCTGACTTCAGTGTAGGCGTGCCTGACCCAGTAGTAAATAGTCTGTTACAGACGTCACCCTGTTTTGAAACTTCCTACTCCACTCATATAATTACTGAACTGACAGGCAGGTATCACTGTATTGGACCCTCACTGCCTATGGAATTTCTATAGGTCTCGCCTCTTCACTGATCAAGAAATGGATAACAAAATGCTGCTCCTCTTTGATGCATGTAAATAAAAAGTGTGCTGTTCATCTTTAAACTGATATTATGACATTACAGTGTTTGTTGCACCATGATGTAGAATGTTGAACACTCTTGACATCCCTAACAACAATAGTGACAGGTTACAAGATAACTGTATGGTTACTGTAACTTCTATAACACTTCTGAGGTTTTCGTTTGAAACCTCCTTGTTTGATAGCTGTGTGAACAGAAAAACGATGATTACACATGCTTATGCTTTTGACGGTCAGTTCCACGATAATATCCCCACGTTACACACTAGCTCACTTCTGATTGGTTGACCTCCAGTCACCCGACCTTCGCACACTGCTAGGAGGGTGTTCGGCAAGGCCCTTGATATCGTGTGTTGTATATTTAAGCATGCCAGCGCTTTTAACACTACAAAAACATTTAGAAACTTTGTCTAACCCACAAACCCCCTAGAGAGTGCTGCAATCTCTTTCTTGGAAGAAAAATGTAAATGCAAGACAAGCCAGAAAGGAAACAACATAGCCGTAACCCCTGGACAGCAGACGAGTCTAAAAATCATATCAAATCAATGGAACGTGACCTAGTTTAGCTGGGGAGATTATTGTGAAACTAACTGCTTTTGGCATACCGTTATGATAACTGTCAAGGAGAAGAATATAATATGTTACCACAGTAAATCCACTCACCCTTGTAAATTGATGTGTCTGAGTGCTGGTGTAAAAAGATTATTGCTGATGTGACTCAACAGTGATGGATAAAAGTGGTCATGGTAGGTAAGACGTTCAATAAGCATCTCCTTGTGCATCGTAGGGAGACTTAAACCTAGATTTGGATAACGAGCCAAATTTTGCTCCACGCACTGCAAGCACAGGTCGCTGAGTTTCCAAACCATCATGACCTGGCGTCGTCTTATGATCACCTGAACACAGCATAAACTCTATACCTGGAACAGGGAACCGAAGAATATGGTTTAACCTGCTGAGAAATCAATATTAACACAAGCATTTTAAATATTTAGACACACTAATTATATGGAGACAGACTACATGCAGACAAAGACAACAGTGGTATGCTGTAGCCAACCTTTACAGAAGGTACAGACATTTATTTTCATCTACATGGAGGGCATCGTTTTAGAAGTCCCGGAAAGTTAGTGCACTCTAAATCTCGACTCCACAGCAAGTAAGTGTGTGTTTGGAAATCTCTTCTTCTTCTTGCTCACCGGCTATAAACTCCAGGGGATAGTTCTGGTTGTTCGCCCCCTACTGGACTTAAGTACTGCTCCAAAACCTGAGTGTTGTGTGCACATCCGTTTTACAGACTTGGCTTTTTTTTGTGTGAGCAGGTTGCTGGTTCCTTGCCTCTAATGCAGATGCTCCCTGACTTCAAAGAAAGTGCCAGACAAGTCAACTCTTATGACATGCTTGCTAGGGAGGCAGTGGGTCTATTCCTGTTTTCCCTATACTGGGGCCCTAGAATTCACACAGGGATGTTAGGAAATCAACAGTCAGAGACTAGCTTGGTGCTTTGATGCATGACAAATTAGATGTGGACAAGGACCTCTGACAGCAAGTGAAAAATGCAGAAGTGCAAAAAAAAATTATTAGCCTGGAAGGAACAGTACACCTAGAAGTGACCAGGTTTCTGGCCAACACTCTCCATTAATTGCAGGACGGGCTAAATGGATTTATAGTCAAACTGCTAATGCTGCTGGTATAATCGAAAATGGAACTCTGCACTGCCTACTGATGTTGGGCACAGAGCATTTACGGGGATGTCCCAAGTGCTGTGTTGTCAACTCTCAAATCAACTCAACACACAAATTATATAAGGAAAAGGTAGGGAAAAGGAAGCTCTCCCAAAAAACTGAATTAGAGGAAATCAAATGGATAAGATATTTTGAGAAAGCATAGCACCTAAGAAGTTTGGACATATTACATTTAAGGACAATTTTATTCTAAAAAACATTATCACCTAGGCAGACAAGGTAGCGTAGTGGCTAGACACTCCTCTGCTGGCCAAAGGTTTTAATTCCACATCAAGTCAAATTTTTTTTAATGAGCTTGGCTTCCAGGTCAACCTTGTCTAAAATGGGTACCAGGTAAAGTCCTGGGAAGTAAAGGTGGCTGGAGTGATGTTGGCCAATCTGCCAAAAAAGAGCCCTTTACTTTTTTATTTGCTATCCAGCTATAGAAGGTTTTTTAAAAATTAATTACATGTCCTTCTCATGCCCTCGCAAACCAGTCTCAGTATTTAATGACTGTTTTAGTGGAAATTTTTAAATTTAGTAGCTTGCCACTTCTTTCTAAACTGTACAATGCACATAAAGTTAGTTGCTTTTTCTTTACAGAACGCTGCAGAACCAAACCCAGCAATTTTTTGCCTGTTATTGTTTTGTTTTTTTGACATCAAGAAGTTTGCCACTGCATTCTGGACAGTCAGCTCTCAATACCACTGTTGAAACCAAAGCAAGGCGCATGGCCTGCAGCTGGGATCGAACCTGACACCCCAGCATTATGCCTAAGTCATAGACACTGACACAATGCACACAGCAAGGTCAAAATCAATATACAGTGGTCGGCTATATACACTGCCTGCAGCTGACTTGGAATTTTGGTATTTCAGAACTAAAAGTGATTTCACAACCCATAAGTCCAGAATGCTGACATCTATAATAACAACTGTAAATAAAAATAGTTTCAAAGAGCATTTTCTTCTGTGAGCTAGTTCCGGGGCCCGTTTAGGAAACAAAAAGAACTGACCCACTGCCACCTTATAAGCATGTTGTAAAACCTGTTAGTACCTTATGGGAGAGCCTGTACAGTTCAGAGGAGCAGATGGATCACCACAGTATGGTGAGATTGATGCAGGGGGGAGTGACGAGAGGTTCTGGCAGATACTCGAGGCTCAGAGGAAAGGCAAGACGGACGTTTAATCAGAATGCTACTGGCACCATTGGTATCGGAATTCTTTGCTGAAGGTTGGGACGCAGCGCTTATGGGAATGCACCGAATGCTGTGATGTCGGTTCTTGAATCAAATCAAGCATGTTGTAAAAAAAAAGACTAATTAAGAATCTCTTGAAACTGGATGTGTTGGGTCCAAACACACATATACTGTCATATATACTGCATAAACACTCCTACTGTAAACCACAACACATTTTACCACCACTCTTTCCAAGGTGAATGTACAAGGAATAAAACAGCTTCTTACATATTCAGCAGAGGAGATCAGAACCTACCATAGATTAAGTGGTTGCATGCGGTCTTCTGCAAGGTTCATTATCTTCCATATGAGAAGTAAAACAAAACTGCTGAAGTGTCCACTACTGATGTTAGTATGCTGAAAAACTTCACAGATTTGTCTTCTTTTATGATGAATCTCTGAAAAAGAAATGCACCTTTTTCAATAAATTTAGTCATTTCTATTGTGTTTTAAAATTTGAAAACTTAAATATCATCATCACTGTTTTGTTTTTAACTTTTATTTTTTCACGTTTTTACTGCCTCTGTCAAGAGTTTTCTAACTGAACAATGGAAAAATACTGTATTAAATTTAGCAGTGACTGGTTTCGGTATTAAGTAATGGAATTGTTAACACTATACTTTATTTGTCAACTTTTGATCTGTTCAACTGCTGATATTTTTTAACTACTGATTTGTTGTAACTGCTGCTTCTATCTATGATGAACTGCATTTATAGTGCCCCTTCTCAATACCATCCTAACAGACACTCGACTCTTCTCAGGAAGCTAAAGTGAGGTTAAATTTAAATTCATTTAATCTAACTGCTTTGGTATTTTTAATCATCATAAACCACTTCTGCTGTTAAGCGTCGTGGTCACGAATAATTAGCGATCCGGTGCACGTTGGCTGCCACTGGCTATTGTCATGCCGTGTTGTCGATCCATATTTTCGCGGCCATCCTCTTGTAGCTGATCTTCTGAGATGTAGTGCTTGTGATGGTATTTCATCTTGCTGCATTCTAATGAGTTGGCCAAACCACTTGATCTGCTGTTTTTCGATGAATCTTGTACAAGTTCCCACAATTTGTGGGATAGTTTCATTATTCACTCGATCTCGGATGGTTAGGTTGGCTGCTTTTCTCAGGCACCTCATCTCGCAGGTGGTAATTTTGCGTATATAGGCTTTAGATAGTGTCCATGTTTGGCACTGGTAGCTTAATGTTGGAATAAATATGCTGTTAATAATCTGTCTCTTTGCAATCATAGTTATGCTTGGATTTCTTAATGATGGTGACAATTGGTATACAAGTGCACTTGCTTTCTGACATCTGGTTTCTATTTCTCTGTCAATTCTACCATCTTCTGTGATGTATTTTTAGTATTATGTAGAATATAAATATTTTATATAAACTTATAAATGTGTAATACACCGATAACAATTGGATTTTTTCATGCAAACATACTGATTACTCTCCCTTTATTTCTTATGGACAAATTTGTTTAGTATACATCCAAGGATCAGGAATGGATTAAGTACGTATACCGAGGTACCACTGAATATTTTTTCCCAACCATGCACAGCTGTATGCTCAGTTATAAAGCTTTGTCAGTGAGAAGAACTGGACTTATTTGCATGTTTGAAGCCTGTCTAATCAGCCAATTCTGTAGCCACGTCTTTCTTGTGGTCTCTCTTCATCTCTTCCCTTCTACACAGCTTTTGAGTATAATTTTGGAGAGGCCAATAGACCTTGCTATAAGTTGTTCCCTTTGAAATATGAATAAGATTGATTGTATTTACTTTACATTATCATGCTTACATTCTAATCAGTGCCAAACTGAATTTTTGGCTCTCCTCCGAACTTCAACCCGATATTATGGCGGCCATAAAATATCCTTACAGGGCTCAGGCATATGTAAAGTGCGGACTTTTTGACAATGAATAAATCGCGGCAAAACTAGGATTACTTGACAATTTCAAGAGAAGCAACATTGCAGACTATAGTAGCAGATGATAATAGCGACCATTGACAATTTCGAGCGTTTCTGCAGTTGATAGTAGCAGACGATAAAAGCATGCACAAAACGAGATTAAACTCACCGCCGAGCGTATCCCCCGCGCCACTACGTGTGGCGCGGATGGGGGGCTAAACTAGGTGCCTGGGACTCACGAGCAAATTAATTGGAGGAAGTTGCAGGAGATGCGGTAGCTGCTCGCTCGTGAGTCCCAGTCATCTAGTTTAGCCCCCATTCGCGCCACGGGAGGAACGGTCGGCGGTGAGGCAAAGTCACAGAAACAGGTCCGCAAGTAACATATCGCTGAGACCCTGTTAGAGCGTTTGTTTCGTTATACGGAGCCGGCATATTTTTAATAGAACTGAGCCCCGTAAGTAAGGAGAGCCGAATTTTTAAGAATTAATTTAATATTATAGTGATACTTGATACAATTAATGTAACATATTTAATAAGTTCATTAATTTTTAAAAATGTCACTTCATGTCACACATTCCACGTTCACAATGACAATATTTTTGACCTGAATAAAGTAGTAAAGAAGGCATTTACATTTAGTTCACAAATAGAAGACGTTCACTGTTCAATACACTGTGCCGACTGAACAATTTATTGCCTGGCATATTTCGCTACATCTCGTCAGGTGCACACTACAGTAACAGTGAAATTATGAAGCAAATCCTTTATAAATACAATTAAATACTAGTACAAAATAATTTAAATTTAAATATTTCATTCATTAATTTACTTAGTAAACGGTAGTCTGTGGCTGAGTTGAAAAAAAAAAAGATATTTTGCCTTGACACAAAACAGAGCAACCAAAAGAATACACACCCTAAAGTGACTAAATCTCCTTACTAATAATATTAATAGAAAGATACTCAAACACTTAAAATAGACTAACTTAGCAATAAACAG